GGTCAAATGGTTGTTCCATTTCAAGTTTTCTGCTTTCCAGAGTGGTTGCACCAATTTGCAGTCCCACCATCAATGTATGAGTGTAGCTTTTTCCCCACACAGAGGACAATTTTAAAGTAAAAATTCCCTATATCCTGAGAAATTTAATTGGCATTCAGAAAGGTTGATTTCAATAAGGAATATTATTTTTTAAAGTGTATGGGGGTTTTGTTTGTTTTTTAATATTGGAGACCAAACCCAGGGCCTCCAGTGTGCTAGGCAAGCACTCCATCATGAGCTACAACTCTAGCTCCCTTTTTAAAATATTTTGAGACAAGATCTTGCTATGTTGACCAGGCTGGCCTTGGGATCCTCCTGTTTGAGCCTCCTGAGTAGCTGAGATTATGGGGTGTGCCACCATACTTGGCTTGTACTTCAAGTTTTAAGGAAGCATATAGATCTGCAGACTTTTCTTAGTAATGCATGTGTATTTCTGATCTGTAACTTTTATTTCTCAGGGCTTATAAACCACAATAAAAATGTTTTGTTAATAAAGCAGCTTTTTTTCCCTTTGCCTTTGAAGTATTACAWGTTTGTCTTAACTAGATTTTGGATTTTATTCCAGTATTAATATAAAATAAAACTCAAAAATTCAAAATAAAGTTTCATAATTTTAAATTGAAATAGTTTTGCTAATATGAAATATGAATCCATTTGGGCCATCTGAGACCATTAATCTGATTACCCCAACTAACTTGATAAAGATAGCATGATAAGGCTACAAAATTATAACTACTTTTTATTATGATTTATAGTAGCACTATTCACTTTTTCCCTCTACCTACTTAGTAAGATTCATACATTGGTTGCATGGAAGATACTTACCACCTGAAAAAAATTAAATTATTCAATAAATATTTGTTACTCAACAAATGTTTGTTGATTTGTTATTTAAATTATCACAGTATAACTACCCTTCAAAACTAACACAATYGTTTCATAAAACAATAGTCAAGAATGAAAGATAAGACATTTGGGTTAAAGAAGGATCCATTTACCATACCTGAATTCGTTCCTTTTGCACTCCTGAAGGAGCAATGTAGATTTCATTGCTGGCAACACAAAATATAGAAATTGGGTWTTTATTTAATTTTATGCACAAAAATATCTCTGCAGTACAATCATTAATGTTATTTATAAATTAAGTTTTATAGTTTCTTGGCTTAATTAAAGATTTAGGATGCATAGAAAGAATAACCAAATTACTTTAATGCCTTGGTAATGCTGGTAGCTTACCACAAGACTAGTACTTGCTTTTTGTCACATACATTTATTTCTTTTTATGATGTAAAATCAATGTTGACCAGGCTTTTATCTAGTTGGAAGAAATAATCTGAACATGTAAGTYTTCAACATCTTAAGGTGTCAGTAGAGTTCATACTATCATATGTGAAATACAGTCATTCTAAAATACAATCAGAGGAAAATACACTCAACAGAAGATTYCTGCATGCAAAGAAGCAAGTTTAATATTATTGCTTGAAATACTTATTACAAACCATGAAGTTCAGAGACCTCTGCTGGGCAGGTTATTAAATTACAGCATAACAGTGTCTTGGATAGAAGTGTATTCTATTTGAAAAGCACATGTATCTTGGAAAATAATTGGTAATGAAGCTAAAACAAACACAAAAAGTTAAAAATATAAGAATGGCTACATGCAGAGATCTCTACYACAGGATGTGGTGCTAAGGAAGATAGTGTAGCAGTAAGCTGCACGCATGCATGGAAATCAATTTAGATTCTGAGAATGTCCACAGAAACTCTCAAATTTGATTTGCAAATTAATTTCAAAATCTTCTTTACATTCCTTCCACACTAAACAATAGTTCTTTGGCTCACTTGCTTTTTTCAATTGCTGCTGGGGAGTGTTAATGAGCTGCCACATAAATGCAAACCAAGGAAATGCCAGCACCTGATGCTTCTGCTACTAAGGAACAGACATAAGGACACTCAATGAATATTAAATGCTTCATAGTGAGGATGAGGGTCTATGTTGACCTGCTGATTTGGAACTAACGAAAATGTAAGGTGAAATTAGGGCTCCATTGGTAAATTAAGTCTAGAAAATCAATGCCTGATAATCTGAGTGAAGTCCTATGCACAGTAAGCTGCACATATGCATTAACTTTCATGAAGCAGCTACTGTTCTAGAGCTCTGCTGCTCAGGATGACACAGAGGGCACTCTTCCGGAATCACTGTTAAAAGGGGCCTTTWACAAATAACAGTTATCTAAAACCTTTGTCTTTGTGTAACACAAAAGAAATCCAGAATCATGGGTAGTATGCCATCTACTCACTTGCACAGGTAAGGAGATGAGTCCACAGGTAAGTGGATTCATAGATCTTTGGTGCAGGAAGAATTTTATGCAGTACTGGGAACAGACCAAAATAAAGTACAATATGGCCTGCTAGTAAACAAAATCCATCAATGACATMGGAAAACCCAGGGCATTTATTCTGTTTATTTGTTATTTGTCAAGCTAARTCTGTCTTTACTACTGCCTTTGTAAAATGGAAATCAATTTAGACTTTGATCAACTTTGGGCAATTAGCTAAAMAGGTTTTAGACAAAAACATATTAACATCTAYAAAGAAAGAGATATTTGGATAAATACAAAGGTTACAGAACTTTTATTTTAGGAGAGAAACATGCCAAACAGTCAGTGAGTGTTTACTTGGTACTMTAAGCCACACATGAAAAGCATCTTGAATTTTAAGTTATTAAGTTTTGGAATTTACTTCTCTCTACTCCCTGATTTTTCACTGTATGATAAACAGAGAAACAAACTCCAAGAATTCATAATAGATCATGTTCACTTACTTCTATTTTTATTTATTCTCTGTTCACAWAAAATCATTAAGATATTACTATGACTCAATGATCTCATCTCTGATATGGATTTATAAATTGTAATCCTACTAGTGAGCAACAGGATTAGTATGTCTTACACCGATCAATACTATACTGTGAAAATAGGAAATGTTAAATTTGAATGGTGAGGACTCAATCTAAACACAACAGTGGAAGAGTATCCTGTGATTACCCACATTACTGTTGTTTTCTTAGTCCTCCATTTTTTCCTTCTCACAAGAGTGTGTCTGTCCTAGGCTACCTCTTACATACATCTTTTCATATCACACACCATTGGTGTAAGCTGGAATGATATTAGCCAAACCTTATAATCAGTCAACAATTCTGTATTCCCAAATAAGCTCCCAAAGAGCTTATTGCCAGTAATATTCTAAAAACACATTCCAAATTTATTTGCCCTAAGAGCCAGAAAAAGAAAAMCAACTATCACTGACAACATGAGAATGATATTCTTGACAAAATAAGTGATGCGGGCTCATGAAGTCGTTTTAATTATCAGAAGCAAAATTCAACTTTTTACCACAAAATGCCTATTTCAGTCTGTAAGGCTCAAATGTATTACAGTTCCAAACAGTGCCATAAGATGTGGCTCTTTCTATGTATGACCTCTAGGAGGAGCTCCTCACCCAGTAAGAATCTGTAGAAAAAGTATTTTACACATGATGCAACTTTCCTATAAATTGATTGTAGAGCTATGAAAGCCATTTAATTTTAAAAGATGTGCCAATAAGTGTTTTATGGTGGCCACATACAGCCACAGTTACATGGATTAGTAAAATTCTGCTAGAAAGAAAAGTCTTTATGACGTGGTTAAAATAAATCCCTCTTAGCCTTGGGGTTGTGGCTCAGCGGTAGAGCACTCGCCTCGCACACGCGAGGCTCTGGGCTTGATTCTCAGCACCACATAAAAATAAATAAGCAAAAATAAGGGTATTGTGACCAATTACAACTAAAAAAATTAATATTTTAAAAAATAAATAAATCCCTCTTGAGTTCTGTATTCTCATTTTTAGCTCTACTATTTTTTAAGAGGCAATTAGAAATGGTTATTTCAGTTCATTTTGAGASACAGCTTTGTTTTGTGTGTACAAAAACTTTTCACACATGCAAACARTAGTTAATTAAAGGCAACATTTAGAATATGATTTATTATACATAGTATGATGGGAAAACCAAATTACTGTGACTCAGCTTCTAAATGGATAAGTGAGATGAAAAAATTGCTGTTAGCATTGAGTCTGCTGTAACAGAACAACTTAAAAGTTTGGCAAAATAATCTGAAATCTTGCACAATGCTGAATTGACACATTAGCAACTGGGATGATAGTGACAGGGCAGCACAGATGGATATACAGAGCTACCACGTGGAACATGGTTTTACTGGACTCTAAAAGAGTGCATTCTTAATATTATTATTATTAATAATTAATATTATTGATATTACTAATATTAATATTTTATACTTGGTAATTTGAAGAGGATGAAATTATAAATGGCATCATCTTGTGGTATGCTATAAAATCCTTTTTGTCCAAAATGTTCTGATTTATTTTATATCTTGTTTCTTATTATGCCATGCAGCCTCCTGGGGGGGGGGCATTTCTTTCTTTCTCTTTCTTTCTTTCTTTCTTTCTTTCTTTCTTTCTTTCTATCTATCTTCATTCAATAGCATAGCAATGTTTTAACAATCCAATTTTGTTAAAGAAAGTGAATTAGGATAATAAATTACTCAGCTTAGCATTTAGTCTCCAGATAGTAATATTTCAGAGGAAAATATTAATCYTATTTTAGAAACCTGTGAAAGAAATTAGGTGCCACAATCTTTATTTTCATTGTTAGTAAGGTATTTATTCTTCATCTTTCTGGAGGAAAGACACTGAATAAATCTAATGAAYAATCTAATGAACTATTTATTCTTTCTGTTTTGGTAAGTCTAATACCTCTTGTTTTGCCCAATATTTGATAAGTCCAATACTTCTTGAGGAATAAAGACCAGCAAGTGCTATGTTCCATTAATAATGATRCATAGACTAGCATATGGTCTTTCTTTTGACTCAATAAAGCATAACCTTTAGAATTTTAATGGTTAATAATCTGTATTWAAGTGATTTAAAAATAAGTATCTGAACATTTGAAACAAATCTTGTCTACCTAGAAAGTATTTTTTATAATTCCAGACATATGAACATACTTGCAAAACATAATCTAATTTTGGTACTCCAAGGATTAAGGACAAAAAATTGATTAGAAACTGCAGTTCATAAATCCTTAGGTATTTATTATAACTATTTCTGCATACCGGCTCCATTTAGTTATGCAAATAGCCATTTGATAATTTAGAAATGAAATACCTTTACTATCACATAGAACTTATGATTAGCTGTTCTTTGGACATACCACATTAGACTCCCTGTGTTCTACTCATATGGAAAATTCCCAGAGATGAGCCAGCCAGAAACTTACCCATGCTTCAAGCTAATTCCTCCTCCAGTCCCAGTGACCCAACCCAAATGGTAAAACTGTTTGCAAAGTTCTGGAATCAGGTATCTTGGATGTTCATTGTCCTTAAAAAGAAAATAATAATTTTTAAAGTAGGCATTATTTTATCAAATAACTATTCCAGCTGGTATTTCTAATATGAAGCTCATTTAAGGAAACTTAAGATCTTCTACTACAGAGACGAGACAGAGAGGAAGAAAACTATTACAAACATATTTTGTTTTTAATGTTCATGAAGTAGATTTACTATATTATTTGGCAATCTGGGAGTATTCAGTATGGGGCCGTATAGTTCATCACTAACAGGCTTCAGGAACAAGGTAGGATGCCCAGTATGTATTACATTCTACATGGCTGAAAGAAATAAAATCTGATGCTGAAAGAAACATGCTTCTGTCTGTCAAGAAAATTTATTTATAAACACATTATTACAAAAAAAACCTTGTTCAATTAAGGCAAGATATATATGAGATATCATGATAGCTACATGTTCAACACAGACTGTTTGTTCAGTTTTGTTTTTACTTAAAAATTATCCTCTTTTTTTCCAAAATGATTTTAATGTTTCTCTTATTATTATTATAAAGTAATATATACTCATTATGGAAAATTAAATCAAGCAAAGAGTATTAAAAACACTCAGAAACAATTACAAAAACCTGCTAAACCCATTTTTATGAAAATATGTGTTTAAAAGTATATGCATAAATGCTGAAATAAATATCAAACCTTACCTATAAGTCCAATAATGACTTCTTTAGAAAAAAACATACCAATGATTTCTCCTTTTTTAAAATTTTAACAATTTATTAAAAACAAAAATAAATAGAAATACAATGAATTTAATTTTTGGCAGTATGAAGTATRATATACAACCCTTACCTTGAAATCAAGCTAAAATGCTAAGTAAATTATTTTTACAAATATTTCAAAATAAGTTGCTACACTGTCAAGAAAGTAAGGATTCAGAGGGGCCATAGAGAAATGAGAGTGAGACTATCTGGGTTGGAAACCTGGGAGCCTAAAGCCAGAATTTTTCCTGAAGGTATTTGAAAAAGTCTGATGACACTGAGCTTCAATTCGATTGGCTATATAAACCATTAGAAATATGACGTACAACCTAAGGCTTGCTTAAAATCCCCCCATATAAGCTTGAGAACCTAAGGGGCTATACCCTTCAGGAAAGGGCAAACAAGAAACAGACGTACTATGCAGAAGAGCACAGGCAAGCAAGTTGCCTTTACTGATCTTGGTCCTGTGTAAAGGAGAAAAACACCCTTGAGTCAAAAGAAAAACCATTACATAATGGACTAAAGTCTCAGCTACTTAATTGGTTACCTGCAATTATGGTGTTTTCCCCAATTTCCTGCTAATGTTTTATATACACATTTCATTTTAGGAAAGTACTATGAATGATATTAATGGAGTAGCTTTCAAAATATAATATCAGGAATATGGGAAACTAGAAACTTTTTAAAAGTTTTGATGCAAAGGGCTCATGAGTTAGSAGGCATGGAGTCAAATCCACATTACATCACTCACTGCTTACGTGACTTTGTGGTTCAGTTTACTCATTCACAGAATGAGCATGCTGTGAGAGATGCAACGCATATGAAGCACCCAGCACAATGTGTGATTTAAATCCTGTTTTAAAGAGTTAAAAATTCTTGAATTAAAATTGATTTTATTATTACTKAAAGATATTTCTTGTCTGTTCTTAAGAAATCTAGCCAAAATTATCCATGCCCTGTATAAGTCACTATTTCCTTTTTTAGGAMCATAAATGATATTTTAATTACATATTAAAGTAGAGTTAACAGGAAGACTCCTGCAGTTTTCCAATCCTTAAAAGCAAATTGGCAGAACAAATTGCAAACATTATTGAAAATGGTCTGTTATTATGGGTCTTCCCCTTCTCTTTGTCTTTTCCAATACTTAGGTATTACAGCAATTAGTAAGCTTCATGCTTACAGGAATAAGAATCAGGCAGTTGCTGTTAGTACATTTTCATCCAGTCATTCAGACATGTAAAATTTCAATTAAAGCAACATGATCAGTTAATYGTCACCAACAGAGATACATTTGGTGAAAAATTCAGTCCTAGAAAACTGTCCAGATAAGATACTAAAAATCAGAATATATAYTTTAAAAAGAATTAACAAGAAAGAAAGGTTTAGTTAGTATCTAGTTCTCTTTTGAATGTCAATAGTATTACTTGGATCTGGATTTCAATTCAATTATTAAATTTAAAATATGTATTTAAAGATTMATTATAATCAACTATTTAAAATGTTCATCATCTCTAGAAATTAGAGAAATGCAAATCAAAACTACTCTTAAGATATCATCTCACTCCAATCAGAATGACAGCTATTAAGAATACAACAATAAGTGTTGGTGAGGATGTGGGAAAAAAGGCACACTCATATATTGCTGGTGGGACTGCAAATTGGTACAGCCAATATGGAAAGCAGTATGGAGATTCCTTGGAAAATTGGGACTGGAACCACCATTTGACCCAGCTGTCCCTCTCCTCGGTCTATACCCAAAGCACTTAAAAACAGCATACTATAGAGACACAGCCACATCAATGTATATAGCAGTACAATTCACAATAGCTAAACTGTGGAACCAACTAAATGCCCTTCAATAGATGAATGATAAAAAGAAAATGTGGCATATATACACAATGAAATATTACTCAGCAATAAAAGAAAATAAAATCATGGCATTTGTAGATAAATGAATGGAGTCGGAGAATATAATGCTAAGTGAAGTTAGCCAATCCCCRAAAGAAAACAAATGCCAAATGTTTCTCTGATATAAGGAGACTGACTCATAGTGGGGTAGGGAGGGGGAGCATGGGAGGAATAGATCAACTCTAGATAGGGAAGAGGGGTGGGAGGGAAAGGGAGGGGGCAGTGGGTTAGCAATGATGGTGGAATGTGATGGACATCATTATCCAAAGTACATGTATGAAGACACGAATTGGTGTCAACATACTCTATATACAACCAGAGATATGAAAAACTGTGCTTTCTATGTGTAATAAAAATTGTAATGTATTCTGCTATCATTTATTTAAAAAAATAAAAATAAGAAAAAAATAAAATAGAGGTTCTATTGTAGACAGAAACATATTTAACAGTATTTAGTATATATGAAAAATATTAAAGCCTAGAATGTTTTTGATTCAGTATTTTATTTTTTCAAATTATTAATCTAGTTATTTTAAGGAAATCAGACTTGTTACTGAKATACCTATTCATAGCCAATAATGACTCTAATTCCCAATGATTTATCCTTTTTAAAATTTTTTTTAACAACTTATRATTTTCTTTCAATTTAAGAAAATCCAGGCTCCAGTTTGGTGCAGTGGCACACACCTCTAATCCCAGCAGCTCAGGAGGCTAAGGCAGGAGGATCTCAAGTTCAAATTCAGCATCAGCAACTTAGTGAGATCCTAAGCAATTTAGTGAGATCCCATCTGTAAAATATATAAGAAAGGGCTGAGGATGTGGTTCAGTGGTTGAGTGCCTCTAGGTTCAATTCATGGTATAAGAAAAAAATTAAATCCAGGCACTTGTTATTCAAAGATAATTTTCCTGGGAGACTCAGACAAATTATTTTAGATTTGTCAGGATGGAGGTATAGTTCAGTGGCACAGTGCATGTCTAGCATGTGCAGGGTCTTGGGTTCAATCTTTAGCACYAAAAAGGATGACGATGATGATAACATAAAAAATAATACTTAGCTCATTAATTAATAAGGAAATCTGTAAGATGTTAGAACCATTCAAAGGAGAATTCAGTATACTTGTATAAGAGTAATCAGGAATCTTAACTGGGGAGTGGCACACGCCTATAACCCCAGTGGCTCAGGTGGCTGAGGCAGGAGGATCAGGTCCTGCTTTGGAAAACCCTCTCTCAAAATTAAAAAAATAAAATAAAATAAAACAAAATATACAAAAAAAAAACCTACTGGGGATGAAGTTCAGGGGTAAAGCACCCCCAGGTTTATCCCAAATATACCTCTCCAAAAAAAGTAATCAAGAATCCTGAATTCACAAAGAAGGCACAATTGGACAATATCCTTAGGGTAACTATAAATCGAATGTCTACTGAACACAATTTATTGTCATAAACAAGTCATGYACATTACTGTCAGTATTCTGTAATTTACATACTTATAAAATAACTAAAAGATAATCTTAAAACACCTAGTAATTTTTTTTTTACTCATTTCAAAGTTTTCATAATTTTTTCTGACACTGTCTTCAGGAAGGGACTGATATATTTGTGCAGTAGTTGTCTAGATTTTCTCTCTGTGCTTGGTCTTTGTGTCTTTTTGCACATTTATTCTATTCTCCTCTCTGTGCATGTTGCTTTGCTTTCCAATATCACCTTCACTCAGAAGCCCTCTCTTCTTCCTCTTGCCACACTAAAAATTCATCTCTTTCCTCTGCATTTCAGTTAAGTGTTGAATAGAAATTAAAGACAATGAATCTGGTTTCAGCTTTGACGCCACTAGCTGTGTGCCCTAAGGCAAGTCAGTGACATTTTCTGGTAYCAGTTTCCTCATATTAATAATCTGGATCAGTGATTTCCAGACTTGTGAATTTCAATAGCAGTTTTACTTTTCTATTTTTTTTCCTTTTGATTTTAGGAAATGACCTAAGATTGTCAGGTTATGACATGAATTACATTTAACTATCCACTATCACCTTCTTCAAAAAAGAAGCACATTTTTAACATAAAAGGAGGACAACCTCAGAATAAAAACTGGTTTTTTWAAATTGCATTCAATTAAATTTAGTGAAATTCATGTTTTGCTGACTTCCTTTTTATTACTTTGCTATATATAGTTGTAGTAAAAATTCTCTTAGAGAYTGACATTTGGGAGTATGGAGGTAATCTTTTATTTGGTCTCCTTGCTACAATTCCTCCTTCTATTCCAGCTTATCCTCTAATATGAATCATAAACTAATACTATATTGATCACGAACTCCATTCTTCAAATCATCTAATGCTCAAATGCTCTATGGTCTGCTAGGATCTTTCTGTAT